AAAAAAAAAAAAATTGTTTTTGGTTTTTTCATCGTCATGGCTAATCCAAACGTTTTCCTTCACGGATCTAATACTGAGGTAATGATGTTCAGCAAATCCAACTCGTTGACTTTATAGTTTGAAAGAAATATTTAAAGGGATACTATCAAAACAGTTCAACTTCACCACGAACAGTTAACCGGGGAGTTCAATGATAGTTTCTTCTGTCTGAATTCGATCAACAGTATATTACTGGTTTGTTCTGACGTTTTCTTTTGAGAATGAGCACTAGATCGCAAATAGGTATTGTGTATTCGCAGGTATTTTCATGTCCCGTGATTCTCGGTGACCTTTTCGAACGATGTGAAGTTTAAATTTAATTACCATTATCTTTTTTGTTGCTTGTTAATACAAAACACTACCGTTTTCGTTCGCATCTTCACTTCCCCATTCCGGTGGTGCAGTCGGCCGAACGACAAAAGTTGATTACCTGTTCCTTGGCAACGTATTTGGCTTGGTTGGAAGTCTACTACGAGACACATCATGATGAAATTGTGACCAGTTCGGATCACGCAAATCAACTGAATTGTCGACTAAAACAACTGGGTGATCGGTTGATGCGAGAACATCTGTCACCGATATACTCCCACTTATGGTCGCATCTGTGAGTTAAATCTAACGATCCTTCCAGTGTTAATAAGACTAATAATGATTCCTTTAGCGCATGATAGCACATTTAATTTACAGCCGAAGAAAGCGACCAATCAGAACTTTCTAGGTCACAGAACCGTAGAAGATAAATGACGGTGTTAGGAATTAATCACGTATTATGGTCAGTTTTCTGTACGGTTTCACACACACACATGACCATAATTGAAGTAGTGTTGGTTTACCTTGTGGTGGTAACGTCACCAAATTATCACCTCAGAGGACGAGTGTTCAAATCCCACCACCACCGTGTGTTATGTCGCCAAATTGTTATGTTTTACGCTGCGTATATCCGTCGTCTACTATTAGGTCGCAAATCACTACATCACAGGAGAACACCACAAGTGCAAAGAACACAAGATATAGCACAGTAACAATGGTAGCACATGGGAAACGAGAACAGCAAACTAACACTAGTCCTTTGATTGGCCGCTTTCCCCTTCCTGAAAATGGTATCATTGTATATTCAATAAAAGGAAATAGCAAAGAAAATAAAATAAAAAAACTACTGTGCAGGGTTACACAGTTGACCTCATCCGGTTATCTTGCGTGTGCATTTTGAGCGTGATATGGTGCAGGAAACAATTACAGCACGAAAGCGGTGTTCTGTTGGCTAGACCCAGTCTGTACCCAGCGTTAGATTTCTCGTGAGGATTCTGCATTCAAATGACCCTTTTCCAGCTGAGTTGTTTGATTTCATCCATCGGATAACTTTTTATTCACTTCATTCCCGTCAACCATTCACCTCAGATATCACCCTGACTGCTGGAGTCGAATTTTATCAACATGTGGTACATGGTACATGACAAATCAATGCATGAAATTAGTCTTTTACCCCGGTTTGCTTGATATACGTCCAGTTTACCTATATCCCTGTTGTTGTGACTCAGCACCAGTGTCTGTTGTGTGTTTCCCTGCGAGTACTGCGAACAAATTGACGAGGCCAGATAAATCGCGAAATATTCTGAGCTATTTAATGCTATTCCCTTACAGAGTTTCTCCAACCGATGTCTCAGGTTTACGGGCTGGGGCTTATGTCGTGGAAGCCCAAACCGTCGAAGAATGTTTTGTTGTGCATTCGTGGCCAGGTTTATTTTGACTAACGGCTAGAAGGACGCGTATGGCAGTTTCTTTCAATGATCAACAATGAACGAGAACACTTGGCGCGAAATGCTGAGCTCAAAATGATAACTACGGACTGTTCCATTGATTTTCCTGTCTGCTTTCCGGAATTTTGATGACATGTTCAAAATGAGATATCTTGTTATTTTTTGTACGCCAAATTATCCATACCCTAACGGTGATTCGTATACACAAATCTCTTCGAGCCAACATCGGTCTTCTGGACCTATAACAGTAGTAGTACGTTGATTGCAAAGAGTCTGTTTTTCGTAGCGATATTGTTTATCATCACTTGATTTGGGTAAGAATTTTAGTCTGCACGTCTGTTCAAACTGTTGCATCCGAGTGAAAAATGGATGAACATTGAATAAACCTAAAGCATAAAGCAAAGTACAATATTACTTTATGATTTGTTTGTATATCATCGTATGATCACTACTTTTCTCAACACCAAGAATGCACAGTCCGGAATTAGGGATCCTCTATGCAGGTTTATGATTCTGTCCAGGAAGATGTGAAATTGTAATCGGGTACTTGTGACGGATCGGATGTTGAAAAAATGTAATTGTGCAAATAGATTGTGTGATGTTCTGGTAATCACCAATGTGAACATTCCTTTGAATCATAAAATAATATCCCAAGACGAAAGGAAGATAGACGACTGAATAGTACAAAATTCCGACGCAGTGTTTTGAATTTCGAAGCCATTGAGTGAAGCATCGATCGAGGAAAATTATTACTTATGTGCAAACAGAAACAAGTATTTTGCCGTCGCGACATTCAGGTCCAACGGGGAGATTTCTTTTTTCCTAATAGCAAGATATTCAACGGAATTCGAGCACCAGAGATTACTAGAATACAACTCTGTATACCGTGATGTAGTTGTGAGTGACTTAAGTTAAAACCGATTAACGTGAACAGAGTTTTGAGAACAGCTAGTTTGGAATAATCCATTCGATTCTTCACAGGCGCTAGGCATTGGTAATGGTCTTGGGTGTGAGTAAAAATTTGAAGTTCCGACCCGAATTTTCACGATTCGAAAAGTATATACTACTGACCAGACCCAACGAGGATGCAACAGTTTTCGTGTGCTTTTTGTCGGTCTTCAAAAGTCTTATGAACTAGATTTAATTTTCATCTATCAGACTGAGTCACATACTGTATTGAGTTAACTCAAAACCTTCAGTTTGATGCCATCATAATGCAGCTTGCAGTGTTTCATGTAGATGTTAACTTGTAATATCGAATCAGACAAGATTTCCGTCTCCAGTTGCAGCTACTTCCTTCAAATGGAATCCTGTCCGAATAGAGCACTGGAACGGTGCTTGGCCTCATTGGATTTTCTATCCGGTCTCGTTCCCGGCCAACCGATTGTGCCATACTCCTTCATTCCGGCTGGCAGTTCGGTTGCATTAGGTCACACCTTGTCGGATTGGTTAATATCCGCGTGGACGAATCCATCACGCGGTCTTGCGACGTCAGAGGTGATGCTTCATTTACTTGTCACAATCAATAATCACTGGTTGGGTGGGATGGGAAACCCTCAAGATTTTCCGGGCCATAATGACCTGATCAAGTGGTCAGCAGATCCATCCAGCTTTGCCAATCATGTGATCAAACAAGGGTTCTCATGTTCCAGTCTGGATGATGCAGGTATGGATTGCACCCGACGTAATCTGCTTCCTCATGCACCTCTCGTAGTTTAGCTACTCGTGAGTAGCATATCCCTATACACAATTTATGCATCCTCAAAAACGCCTTGACTGATAACCGAATTCTACAGTGCATCCCGATATGCGGTCCACACGCGGTGCCCCCATAGTCTTTTGTAAGATCAGTTGTTTATCATTTATGGTTACATATCTGCTAGCAGATATGTAACCATAAATGATAAACAACTGATCTTACAAAAGACTATGGGGGCACCGC